ATTGCATTTGTTATATTATGTTATAATCTTAATGATTGTCAACCTCTTTCGCCAACTAACATCATCCACTTGTTAATTTCATAGTAATTTATATCGATATATCGCTTCCTTTGAAAATAACAAGAATCTAAGTTAGATTAACGGCTTCTCTCTCTTTCCCCCAACCTTTTCCTTCTCTTTCCTCGCCCCACGTCGTCTATTATAATAGCTCGGTCGGTAATCGGACGGTCATGATCAGAAAGCTTTTCTTTTGTGAAAAACACACCAGTTCATATTTTCTTATTATTACGGCGGTAAGATCGAACATTATTATGCATATTTCATTACTCAGTCATTTGTATCTAAATGTAATTTCCAAAATACAGGATTTACCACGGGTTATGTATTTGATAAGGTACCTTTTGTTATCGTTACTACGTGACAAGGGTTGTTGCCTTGAGGTATCGTTTTCAAAGATAAGAAAACAATTTTTAACTAAAATCAAATCCCTAGAGATTAAAGCAGGCAGTGACGTCAAATAAAATAATGTAAAAATAAAAAAACAATGCAATTTTCACACAATAAACTTTCAAGTAGCTGCATTGTTTCTCACAATAATTATTCACCCTTGAAACAGTTCCAGTTCTCCCGCTATGTTTAAAAGAGTTGAGTTTTCTCCATGCAAATACTCTCCGGCCAAGATCCATTCATTTCTGCTCGAAAGCTTTGTTTCTACTCTTCATCAAACTCCACATTGATGAAAGCTTTCTATTTCAGAGATTGAAAATCTCACATAGCTCTAGATCTCGAGTGAAACAAAAGCTGAAAAGTCGAATGGATATCTTTGTCAAAGTTCCCTCTAAGCTTTCAACGTTAAGTCACGTAATGGAAGTCAATCTTTTATTGAAATTTGCAATAAAGATATTATTTTTGAAATACAATATGATGCATATGCTTTTGATTTCAAACTTTAATATACGATGTTCAAATTCACATAGTGCTTCTTTACGCGTAACGAATCAAATGCAACTAAAGGCGTTAAGTGCGTTTTAAAAAAAGTAAATACACAAAAAATTGAGTTTGTAACTTTAGCATAACTAAATAAATCTTTGTAGGCAAAATAGCATAACTAAGTAGATCTTTGTAGGCAATAGGTCTCACTATTCCACAAATAGATGTAAAGTTCAGTCAAGTGGAAAAAGTTCGTCAAAGAAGAGTTAACGTCTAAGCTATTATTTTTTTAATTGACAGCACTGTAATAATAGTAGATTAAATATTTTTTTATTTAAAAAATTGTTCTAATAGGAATAATAAACAGTACATATTAATAAATAATTAAATAATTCTTAGAATATAAGTAGAAATACGTAATACGTAAATATAATTGTTTATATAAAAAAGCCCACTATGTTGCCTCTATCTAACTTTTATGAAAGATCAATGATGGGCTTCAGGCGAAAAGCTAATGTTTTTTTAATGTGTTAAATTTGATAAAACATGTAGTATTTTTTCATAACTTTTAAAAAACATGTATTAATTGGCAATTTTATTGTCATTTCTACTCTCAAACGCTTTCAATTTATTTTTAATTATTCATTCAATACGTAATACTTGTACCTATAACGAAAGGAACTTTGTTCCAACTGGCTGCCCCGCTACGCCTCTTGTGTTTTTAGAGCATGTAGGGTTAAAAATAAGAATAGGACACAGACGATGTTCACCACGTAACGATCATATATATTACTTAGCGCTTTATTTTATTAAAATATTTAATGTTCATATTCCTTAAATTGTGGTACATAACTGACTAACGTTTTGCCCATGGTAAGTCGGGTCGATCAACCATAAAAAAAATCTACTGCTCGCATTCTCATAGAAATACCGTTGCAGCGGACAAAGACTTAACTCCAGTCATCACCCGTTAACTACAAAAAAACAAAGGTACGAACAGACAAGAATATTGATAATACATCAACGATACGCATTCATAAAGGGATCAGCTGTGTGCTTACGCTAACCATGTTTAAGACCTAGGTAGTGTTTAGGGTTTCTTACCCAAAGGGTATAACGGGATCCTATTAGTAATAGACTCCGCTGTCTGGCTGTCTGTCTGTCCGTCTATCACCAGGCTGTATTTCATAAACCGTGACAGTTAGACAGTTGAAATTTTCACAGATGATTTATTTCTATTGCTCTATAATAACAAATAATAAAAAACAGAATAAAATATAAAATATATAAGTGGGGCTCAAACAACAGACATTATTCTGTTTTTATAGATAACTAGCTGCTGCCCGCCACTACGTCTGCGTAGAATAGGCTGAAGGCGTAACATTCAGACAGAAAGACATATGTCTATATATGTATATAATATATGCTTATGTCTAGTATATATGTATATAAATTATAGCCTATGTCTTATTCTGATGTATAAGCTTTATTAGTGTAAAGTTTCATTAGAATCTATTCAGTAGTATTTGCGTGAAAGAGTAACAAACATCCATCCATACATAAAAACTTTCGCGTTTATAATATTAGTAAGGATGGTAGAGAACCCTTTGTGTGCGGTTTGGTTTTTTGTATTAATATCTAGTGGGGTCGGTCCTAAATTCTGTCACATAATGAAAACTTGAATTTTGAATGCTGGCCACAAAAAAATTTATTTAATTTGAATTTCGAATGATTTGCGAAAATAAAAATTTCGTAAAACATTCGAAAATAAAATAATTTAAATGCGATTTTAATTTATTTTTAAATATGGAGTGGACGCTTAAAGAGAGAGTTGAGGTTATCGCGTGGTGTGGTTGCATCGGTGTGGTTACGCGCCAAATCAGATTTTCGACCTACTGAAACATGTTCAATGTTGAATATAACCAAACGATTCTTTATCGCTTTATCAAACGATATAATAAAGAGTCAAGTGTAGAGGACAGAAAAAGAAGAGTTCGCCCTCGAACTGTTTGGACTACAGGAGTGATAAAAGCAGCGAAGGCTTTAATCCCAAAGAAAAAATCCCATGCACAAGCAGAAACTGTTGGCCCTTCAGATGGGGTAAACATAACCACAGTGAAAAGGGGGTTAAATACTCGTTTGGATGGGCGTTTAATGCACCTGAGACTAAAGAGCGGGATGCATTTTGTTGAAGTGGTTATTTCGGATATAAATTTTTTTACCGTAAATGAAAGCTACAATAAACTAAATGATAAGTTAGAGAAGAAGCTTTTCGTCCTTTTTTCTAGAAATTTTAATGTTTCACCTTAAGTGCAGAGATAAGCATTATAATTTTTTTTTATTTCATACAGCAATAGCGACATTTCTCGTTGGAATTATCGTTGTAAAACCATATTTGAAATTGTGAATATTATTTTTCCTCAGTCAGTCAATCTTACATTTTAAAATTCTTTGGCGACAATCTTTACTCTATGCAACGGTTGATGTGCTTGACATTGACAATATGATCGTAAACCATGAATGTTTTATTCAATTTTATGTCCTTTGTATATACCTACACATATTGGATATCAATTTTATTGGTCTACACGTCTTCTATATAAAGTATAACTAGTAACGTAGTATGCCAAATCTCCTCCGTGCACGCAATATTTTTAAGGAGGAAACAACAGTTTTTGCTTCACATATATAGAAGATATATAATAATTAAATTTTCATTTTAATGTGGTTACCATATCCACGGAGACAAACTTACGGACATGAGCTAGTTGTGAATTATATCGACATGAATACCAAGATGATCTTTTTTAATTACAAATTATTCACTTATTTTCCTCAACAATTAACGTACTCGTTCATGGCAAGAGGCTACTTAAGGTAATGTATAGTATTAAGTATAGTATTAAGTATAATAAAAAAAAATATTAATTTTGTTGTTTAAATATTCGGTCCTTCTGAAACAACAAATTGGTATAACGACTCTACTCCAATAACCAAATGTCTTAACAATTTTTGAATGTATCCGAATACGGTAAAATATTTGAGCCGTCAAATAAAAACTGTTTTATATGTTCGATCTCAATATCCAACGTCGACTCATATATAGATCGCTTTTAGCTCCCATTCATGTCGATAATTTAGTAGAGCTACGGGGACTTTCAGAAAGATAACAAACACTACTCATATGCCGTACGTTTTCCTCACCAATTTTTTTCCCTACTAAAAGGTGAAAACGACTAATGCAGGCTAACAAAAAATGACAAAAAAAGAGAAAATGTTACACAGTGATAATAAATATTCTGTTAGATTTCAGTGTTGTTCATGAACTATTTGTGCCAATAATTCAAATCTAACTTTTTCTGAATGTGTATAACTAACTATTAATATTTTATAAATTAACTAGCGACCCGCCCCGGCTTCGCAAGGGTTTAATGTATTATACATATAAACCTTCCTCTTAAACTATATCTAATAAATCTACTAGTAAAAAAACCGCATCAAGATCCCTTGCGTAGTTTTAAAGATCTAAGCATACATAGGCTTTGTTTTATACTATATAGTGATTAGTTTTTTAAAGACTTCCACACCCGAATACCCTCGTTATGTGACAATGAAAATGAGCCCTCGGACTTGCCCTCCTGTACTTATTAGGTTATTGTCCGCGACTTCTCGATCTTCGAAATTTGTTTCTATTATAATTTATAAAATATTAATTTTTGTATGGTCCTCCACGGCAAGTGATATATCTATCAGCAATAAAAATTGCTAGTAGCAATTTAATTGGTACCGGCACTTAACCCGGGATCTGAACGGTTTGGTTCGCTCGGGATTAAATCAAAAGCGAGCGCCGGGGACAAATAGACTATCATTGACTGTACGCACTCAAATTCAAATGAAAAATGAAAATTCATCCTTATTTTTATGGACTTACATAACATTTTCAAGTATATATTAAGAAGCAATATTCGATATCTTTATCTGTTTAAACAAATTTCTTAGTGATCCTCGTCGTCTTCAAAGTATTTGACGAAGACCCTTTCCAATTTCAATTCGTTCCACGCGGCCCACAGATGCCGAGCTCGCGCGCGGGCCGGTAGTGCGGGAATGGGCGCGCCGTGGGCCGCGACGGGCTGAGGGGCAGCATGTGGGCGCGCGGTGCGCGGGCGCTGCGCCGCGGCGCGCTGCTGCTGCCGCTGGCGTTGACCGCGCTGGCGCTGTTGCTGCTGCCGCGCCCGCCGCCGCCCGCCGCGCCCTCGCGGCTGCCCTCGCCGCCGCCGACGCGCGACGACCTCCGCTTACAGGTGACCGCCACCTGACTACCCCTACCACCTGTGTGAAATTGCACACCTATACGTGACCACCATTCCAGAGGTTTGTCCACTTTAATAAAGACGAATGCAACACAGGGGGTGTTGCATTCGTCATTACCACCTGTGTGAAAATGTACACCTATAAGTATCCATCACTCCTGCTGTTCGTCCGCTTTAATAACGACGACTGCAACGCCCCCTACCACCTGTGTGAAAATGCGCACCTATACGTGTCCATCACTCCCGCTGTTCGCCGGCTTTAATAAGACGAATGCAACATCCCCTACCATCTGTGTGAAAATGCACACCTATAAGTATCCATCACTTGCTGTTCGTCCGCTTTAATAACGACGACTGCAACTTTCCTACCTCCTATATGAAAATGCACACCTATACATATCCACCACTCCCGCTGTCCGTCCGCTTTAATAACGACGACTGCAACTCTTCTACCTCTTCTTGGAAAATGCATACCTATACGTACCCACCACTCCCTCTGTTTATGCGCTTTAATAACCCCGACTGCAACTCTCCTGCCTCCTGTGGGAAAAGTCACACCTATACGTATCCACCACTCCCTCTCTTTATCCGCTTTAATAACCCCGACTGCAACTATCGTACCTCCTGTGGGAAAATGCACACCTATACATATCCACCACTCCCGCTGTCCGTCCGCATTAATAACGACGACTGCAACTCTTCTACCTCTTATTGGAAAATGCACACCTATACGTACCCACCACTCCCTCTGTTTATCCGCTTTAATAACCCCGACTGCAACTCTCCTGCCTCCTGTGGGTAAATGCACACCTATACGTATCCACCACTCCCTCTCTTTATCCGCTTTAATAACCCCGACTACAACTATCGTACCTCCCGTGGGAAAATGCACACCTATACGTATCCACCACTCCCTCTCTTTATCCGCTTTAATAACCCCGACTGCAACTATCGTAACTCCTGTGGGAAAATGCACACCTATACGTATCCACCACTCCCTCTCTTTATCCGCTTTAATAACCCCGACTGCAACTCTCCTGCCTCCTGTGGGTAAATGCACACCTATACGTATCCACCACTCTCTCTCTTTATCCGCTTTAATAACCCCGACTGCAACTATCGTACCTCCCGTGGGAAAATGCACACCTATACGTATCCACCACTCCCTCTCTTTATCCGCTTTAATAGCCCCGACTGCAACTATCGTACCTCCTGTGGGAAAATGCACACCTATACGTATCCACCACTCCCTCTCTTTATCCGCTTTAATAACCCCGACTGCAACTATCGTACCTCCTGTGGGAAAATGCACACCTATACGTATCCACCTCGCGCGCTGTTTGCCCGCTGTAATAACTCCGACTGCAACGCCCTCTACCACCTGTGTGAAAATGCGCACTATATAATGCGTGATATATATTCTCTACCATATCACTTCAAACATGTGACCACCTTCATCCCCAGAAGTTCTCGGCAAGTGGTGATCATGTTTGATTCCCAGGTGCTTGCATAATCAAGCTTTTGACTGTGACCAAGCTGTGACTAACAACGACTGTAATCTCGCTACCGCGAGACGCTATAGCCTTAGCTTTCAGATGATGGTTTGTGTTTACTATTATTCTGTCCCCAAAAGAAATACCTTTTTCTCACCATCCTTCATGAGCGCAAATTTCAGGCTTTAGGAGTCCATACCATTCAGGATACTAACTTCACGCTTTTTACTTTCATTTCTCCAAGGTTATGGATTGTTATAACGCTGTATATCCGAAATACAAATTGGTACCGATACGGAAAGTGTTTGCAGTGTACAAAAAGCACTCGAGCAGTGTCCTATTTATTTCACTTGAAGCACAGTAAACCTTACATAAAGAACTAAAATTTCCAACCTTCCAACAACACGTCGGTTAGTGATACGTAAAAGAAAAGGTACGTATAGGAAAACGTACTCGGCATAAGTTAAGCAAACCGGCCATGCTTCAACCTGCAAATTATTAATATTAAAATAATCTTAAAATATCAAAAATGATTTTTTGATATTTTAAGTCTTTTGCGTGCAATAAATCTCTTTAAATTTGTCGGAAATAAAAACGCTTAGTAAAATTTGTTACAGATATGCTATATAATAATAATCGGTTGACAATAATTATTCAACCCACAGTATTAGAAAATATAAAAGGAACATTGTAACATTTCACGTGAACTATTGAAACAACAAAAAGAGACATATTTTCAGGTGACCGAAAGCGTGGAGGTGGTTGCGCGCGATGTGGATGAAATCTCGCAACGTGAGTGGTTCTTAAGGGGCGGGGAAAAGCGGCCGCAGCGACACGATCCCACGGCCAAGATCTTTCCAGAAGACGCGCCTGGCGAGGACAGGTGGGTTCAAGAAATGAATCAAAGATATCTTTAATCATGTTAGGCTTTTTGCAAGCACTTATAAACGTCAAATTCTACTTACAGTTCGCAAACCGTCATGCCAATTGGCGGACAAATATATATTCTTTTAATTTGAACCTGTAAAATACAATATCCTTCGAACAAAACAAGTAATTGTCAGGGCGGACATGCAAATACAAAGCTACAGTAATTTCTATGCGTAATTAAGATATTGGTGTCTCAAGGCCGAATAGTAATTAGTAGGCTTGCTAATTCTACGTTAATATACGAGTAAATTTTGTACCTCTTTATGTTTCAACAGTAAAGAATTCGTATCCCTATATTTATATTTTGACCAAACCACCATATATGATTAAGTAATACATAATACACTGCAGAATTACCCTGAAGTAGACCAGCATCAGAATTTTGAATTCTGATAACGGTGACCTGACTGATATGGTATTTTATGGACTTTTGTAGGTAAATAAAGTAGAACCCTATTATAGGTAATACTCGATAGGCAGTGCCTCTATGTATTTTTTTAATTAACTTGTTTAAACTCACTAAGGCTTCAATGGCATACAAGAAAGAAAAACAAAAAAAAATCAAATTACACCTGATCCCAATGGTAGGTATATACGAGTGATCAAAAAGTATATAGTATAGTAACAGGCTGTATATATATATATATGCATATCCCAGCTGGGCTTCAGCTGAGCAAAGGCCTCTATACAAAGGGTATCAGGGCATAGTCCTCCAGGCGGCCTTACTGGGGACACAAATTAAATTCGGTACCAGGCAATGATATCAACAGATAACTACATCGCACTGTACTCGATCGGAGGCTGACGATGGAATTGCGAACCGCCCCGCAGGATCTACGAGCAGCTGATGTACACGTTGCCAGACGACGAAGAAGTGCCCGTTAAGAAAATACTGCTGGCGAACGGCCTCGGCGCCTGGGGTGTGTCCGGGGGGCGGACCGAGTTCATCAGGAACAAGTGCCCCGTGGACCGGTGCTCGCTGACAGCGGACGCCCGGGAGGCGGGAAATGCGGACGCCATCTTGTTCAAAGACCACCACACGCCGTTCAACGTAAAACGTCCACCGAATCAGGTGTGTAACAATCAGTTTTAACTGCTTAGTTAACATCACAATGTCGTCCAGTGTGAAAATGTCGCACTTTCATGTCTGTCGATTCTTTCTTCCTTTTATTGTTCTTTGTTTTTATTTTTTTTTAAAACCTTGTCCTGTCTTTAGGATAACAGTATCCTGTTTCCCGGTATAAATTAAACATAAATTTAAAGTGGACAAACAGACAGATGCGAAACAACTATCTGTGATTAAATAGTTGTCCCGTGTGAGAATCGAACCCACGACTTCCAACGCGCAAGCCGATAGTCTTAGCCACTGCGCACGGAGTCATCATCATCATTTTTGTTGTAGTATTTTTCTTATGCTAAACAATAAAAATATTATTCAGTGGCGTTAAGAAGTGTGATGTTGAATACAGAATATCGCAATTTTGAGCGCCAATTGATATTCGAATTTCGTCTTCTCGGAATTAGGTATAATCAATTAGATTAAACTCAATTTAGTAATTACCTGAATATCTATATACTGGATATCATTTATCAACTGCTTCAGAAAGAGACGACATTGATAAGATAATAATTACCTTTCGTATCTCCCTCAATATTTGATTTCTATAAGGAACCGGTTATCAGTAAGATAGCTTATACAAATATTATGATATACGTGGTCCAATAAATGTCTTTCCTGTATACTATATACGAGGGGCATTTCACTCTTAATGCGAGAATAATATTTACAATGCAACACACAAAGCAATGTAGGTCCATTATCTTACAGGAGTGAGAAAAGTGCATCACTTTAATCGAGCCAGATACGGCTCTCTAACCTCATATATTCAAATATGTATGAACTTTTTATTCCATTTTCTTAATTCTAGTTTGGATTCCAATCGACTATTAAATTTCCCTTTTGGAATACATGTTAAAATGAAACATTCTAGTACGTTCTTCCAATCATGGAGCTTAGTCACCACTTTTTAATCAGTTTTCTTCTGGCTTCCTACGTTATGTGATTGAAAATAAAATTGGCGAGTTTGCTACCATGGATAAGTATGAAATTAAATACATAAAATTAACTACCACTCAATTTTCAAATAAAGCATATGGTTAGTTGTAAATTAAATGGAGAAAAAGCTAAGCAAAAACTATTTAAATAGGTCTTTTGACTCATTTTAGTTATCTTTAGATTAGAGTATTTAGGTCTTTAACGTGAAATGCTGTGTATGATGTCAAGGTCATTACATTTATAATTATCTGTAGTAAAAGTTGTCTTTTATACGATTAAATGTGAAGTTAAAGTATGTCTCTCACTTTGTGTATGATGAATAAAGATCTATATCTTTATTCATCATACATGAAGTGACATATAAATCGTATAAAAGATAACTTCTATTACCGATGATTATTAATGTAATGACATTGACATCATACACGGCTTCATTATACCCACGTGAATAGCTAATTAACCAATTTATAATGTCTTCTAATCAAATTAAATCTCGGATATTCCATGGGTTAATCACACATATATACATTATGGCCCTGCCTTGGACTCCAGAGTTTGGTGGACAGGTCGATATTAGGGGAGGAAAAGTATCTTCTCGTCGACTCTTCTTGTCCTTTGCAATTGAAGGATAGTCGCGGAGAATGCCCCGCCGATGTTGCCCCAAATCTGAGTACAGTTTGTTTCCAGCTGTGGGGCACCCGTATACTGTTATTTTTTCTGCGGGAAATCTTCAATAGATACCCTGTCACCTCTCACGTGACAGGGTTATGTGGGCTCGTTCCCACTAAAACCCCCTCTGTGGCCATCTTCCGTACCTGTAAGCTTGGAGAGACTCCGGGATCTCCTGCGGAACGCACCGTGTCCCTCGGGACTACGCTTGAGCACTCTTCGGAGGACGACTTCTCCTTATCCTCACCATCTTGCATAAACTGGCAAGAGCACTATGTATTATTCCTAGTCTATGAACCCGACGTCCCCTTTTAGCCGCCTTTTACGACAGGCAGGGGATATCTTAGTCCTCTTCTCTATGATAACTCCGTGACGATATTGCCAATAATTGTTTCGCATCTGAGTGATTATCCTCGTGCAATTTATGGTTATAAAACGTCCTTACAACACAGGATAATGTTATCCTAAAGTGAGGGCAATGTTTAAAAAAAAATTCTATGAGCCCGGGACTACAGGGTTGACCCGTATTCTGTTACTACCAACCTATCTTACTGTTTATATATGTCCATAGAAAAATGACACGTTTTTTTACCGCATTGCAGATATGGATACTGTACTACCTGGAGTGCCCTTACCACACCGCATCGTTGCGGCCTTCTTCCCTGGACGTTTTCAACTGGACGGCGACTTACCGCCGGGACTCTGACATCGTGGCACCCTACGAGCGCTGGCATTACCACGACCCGCGCGTCACAGAAAAGGACTTGGACAAGAACTACGCTGCTAACAAGACCAAAAAGGTATCGTATTGTCGCTTGTGGTGTGAGCAAAACTTGAAGAGTCTGAAGTTTCTCCAAGTCATTGCGCTGTACACAGTTTGTAGGGTGTAGATGGACACCATTTATCAGACTTCGAGCTATGCATCGAACTTTAGAAGTTACACAGTTTTGTTATAACTTTTTCATATTTTAAATAATGCATACACGGTCGCGTTAAGAGACTTTATTTTGCCTCTAACCACTGTTAGATTCCATTTTAGAGTTCCGTACGCAAAGGGTAAAACGGGACATTATTACTAAGACTCCGCTGCCTGTCTGTCTGTCTGTCCGTCTGTCACCAGGCAGACAAATTTTCCCAGATGATGTATTTCTGTTGCCACTATAATGGCAAATACTAAAAAACAGGACATAAAATAATTCGCGATCCCATACAACAGACATGTTTCAATAGATAATGGTAGCTTAAGCTTCGTTCTCGAGTTCGTAGTAAACGTTAGTAGACTCGAAAGACTTCAGATTTCGTCGTCAACGAAGGCTACACCGCGGCTAACAGTTGACCATAGATAAGACATATATAGTCGTGTAGACGTGTCGTTTCCATCGCGACAATAAATGAACACACATATAGGGGATAACTTTTTAAAGTTGTATTAAACATTTAAATTCTTTAAACATCAATATTCACAGAGTTATAAAATTTTCCAAAACAAAGAATTTTAGAACACCCTTACCTATAAAAGCGTAACGTAAAGTTCATTTGTAAAGGTCACAAAGCATATGAATGGGTTGAATGAATTTAAAAGAGGCAAAACATACTGTTAGAAGGAGAGGCTTGTAATACGACGCTGCGGCGCGAGTTTTATAGGATGTTACAAATTTTATTTCCTTTCTACTTAATTAGTTTGTTTGAAAAATATATTTTTTCTAATTATGGATTTTGTTTAACGTTAATATTTTTTATCATTATTGGGCAAGTAGCGTTAGGCGTGTGTTCATTTATTGTCGCGATGGTAACGGCACGCTGTATACTGAAAAAAAAAACTGCAGTTGACTCTCTGACACTCGGCACTCAGGTCGCGTGGTTCGTGTCCAACTGCCACGCGCGCAACCGTCGGCTGCAGTACGCGCGCCAGCTGGCCAAGCACATATCGGTGGACATCTACGGCGCGTGCGGCTCGCGCCACTGCCCCCGCGCGGACCCCAACTGCCTCGAGATGCTCGACAACGAATACAAGTTCTACCTGGCGTTCGAGAACTCCAACTGCCGCGACTACGTCACGGAGAAGTTCTTCGTCAACGGGCTGCAGTGAGCGTTTTTATTTATTTCTTATATATATTATATTCATTTACTGATTCATTCATTCAAAAGAAAACATTTCTTAATTACCATCACATCTAGCTTCCATTGAGAGTTAGTTCGTTAATCAAACTGAAGTTTAGAGTCAAAAATAATAAAAATTTATCTTTAAAAATTTCTCCTGTGCTCAAATCTCGTTTAGCAAAAAAAGTTGGCAAGTTCCTTGCCAATTGGAGAGCGCTTAAATCTTTCTGAACTTCATCTTTCCAGCGATATCTACGGCGACCAACAGGACGCTTCCCATTTGCTTGCCTCTTCAAGACACCGAACCAACGCAGTCTCGTGGCTTCCGTATCGCCGATAATGTTGGTTTCGGACACAAGATGTTCAATATCCCTATTTTTCCTTATTCTCCAATTGCCATCGGCCTTCACCGGTCCCAGAATTTACCGCAAGATCTTGCGCTCCGCCACTAAGAGCCGATTCTCTTCCTTTAACGTCAGGGTCCAGGCTTCACAGCCATACATTAAGTTAGGTCCAATCACAGTCTTATAGACAAGTATTGGTTACCACTGCTTTTTCTCTATGCTTCTGGCATTCTGTCATCATTTATGCCAATAGCAAGTAAAAGGAGGGAAACACTGGTTTTGTTGAAATAAACTTATTTCAACGGGGTTACCAAATACCACTGTTAATAATTTTCAACAAAAAAATACCGACTTCAAACCGGAAACTAAAAAACCGACTTCAAACAGGAAACTAATAAAACATTGTCAACGCCTATAACATTTGAGGATTGCTCTCGAATTCTCTGGGATGCCATCATCGGGGGTTTCCTTATCATGGTACCACCCTTGGGATATGTATGTCCTTTCCAACAAAAAAGGAATCATCAAAATCGGTTCATAACCGAAGTTATCCCCGAACACACATAAAAAAAATAAAAATATATACCGTCGAATGGAGAAACCTCCTCCTTTTTTGAAGTCGGTTAAAAAGAACTCGTAACGGTCTCCGCAGACACAACGTCCTGCCGATAGTGATGGGCGCGCGGCCGTCGGAATACGCGGCGGTGGCGCCCCACAACTCGTACGTGCACGTTGAGGAGTTCGCCGGCCCCGAGGAGCTCGCCGCCTACCTGCACCGGCTCGACCAGGACGACAACCTGTACAATTCATACTTCAAATGGAAGGTATGTGAGACGAGGGGGAAACGGGTGACGTAAAACCACCATTAGTACTAATTACCTCTTTATTGCGATTAAATAACTAGAACAACTGCGGTACAAAACCAATAAATTAATGAAAGAAAATAACATGAACTGAAAAAAATTCCTAAAGTCGCACATTAATGCCCGGTCGCCCGCCGAGGGAGTCGTTTTATACCAGAGTGAAACGGTGGGGATTCACCCCCACGACTGCTGACGTCAAAACTTTGGCGCAATCGTATAATTACTTACGATACCCGTGCGCCGATAGGTAAACGCACATATTTATACACCGAAATAATGTTGTCTTGGATTAAGTATATTATCATTAAAAAGAAATACAAGACCGATAGTGGTTACAACTTCAAACGGGTGAAGTGTTAATGTTACAATGTGGTCATTGAAATGATAATAAAGCATCTCATAAGTTCCACATTGCATTCTTCTTAGTAGTTCCCTCCCTGCTGTGGATCGTAACTCGTATTCAACTGGTCAACAAGCGGTTTCGCTCCGTCGCCTGTGGGAGTGCGGCGCCTAATAATGAATAATTTCTAATATTAATAATTTCCAACTTAAATAACGACTCTATAATAATTTCACAATTGGCAGGCCGGTCGGCAGAGACGACAAGAATTACACCAGGAATGGAACGGTGTGAAATTAATGTTTGAGCTAATGCCATGTTACGCCGACGCATCTGGATCGGTGTAGATCGTACTTTGAAAAAAAAATAATTTGTCGCCTAGTGCACGAACAAGGAATATTCGACATTTTTATTTAAAGGTCACTTCACTACGAACCCACAGAGGCAAATGGAGATATACTTTCAACAATTTAACGTTAGATTACTGCAAAAGTAAGCTTTATCACTACGAAAACAATATATGTCCCCACAGACAAACTGCACTTTGACAACTACAAACATGCCTGTGACCACAGATGACACGTTGGTGTCTTTTTTATGTGAAAAGGTGACGAGTGAGCCTTTAAAACGGTGAGCCCCGCTTACCTCAGTCACTAGACGAAACGCAATAGTACGATTACTTATGTTAGGGTTCTGAAAGGCCTAGGAAGTACTTTCCCAGGATAATCCTGCCCATTCTTGCAACAGCAAAAGCTGCTACGAGACTCTACCACAGTAGAGATAAAAAGGTGCTTGATGCTAAGAGCATTTATGTGCAAAATGAACGATCCACATTGGCGAATTTCCCTAAAAGCTCATATTTACTTAGACCTAGGGCGCAACCAAACCTAAACCCACCACTGGCGGTAGAGTTTTAAAGGAGGTACAGAGAACGTTAAAATATGATTATTCGAAAATTGAATTGTCGAAAAGTTTTCGTCGCTGGGAGATTCAAACATGCGTCTTCCGAGTGTCGCGCCCGGAGGTGGGATCTTTTTTTACAATTTTTAGCAATGCTTAGCGACATCTAGTGTGCATACTTAACAGCATGCGGACACTTTTCACATAACTTGTTACTTCCTTCATTTGAGCCGAAGGACTGAAAAGTAACACTAGCTCTTGTTGGTACTAAAGAAAGGATCGACAATTGTGGATTTCTTAAACGCAACTGTGTCGATGACAGTGGGCACACACACGCAAGGCAGTCAGCGCTGTCATCGGCCAAAACGCCGCTCGCGTGTAAAGTCCTAAACACGACCGATCCGCTCGCAGGGAACGGGGGAGTTCATCAACACGTACTTCTTCTGCCGCGTGTGCGCGATGGTGCACGCGAGCGGGCGCCGCCAGCGCAGCGCGCACTACTCCGACGTGCAGGCGTGGTGGCGAGAGGCGGCGTGCACGCGTGCGGACTGGCGCGCCGCCGGCCGCGACTGACGCGCACAGCCGGCGCGCCGCCGCCCCACCCCCCGCCACCGCACCGCCCCCCATCCAGGGCTGCGACGCCCCAGGCTCATATAGCACGCGCTGCGCACCCCTGAAATTCGTCCACGTCGCGCAATACTGCCTGTAGATGTCGAGCATGCGACGAGCACAGCCCTCCCGTTCCCGCCTCAGTGTAAGTCGCTTTCCGTCTCGCTCCGACTGGAGTTGGTCTCAGTCACGGACGGTTGTTATTTACCGTTTAGTCAGCATACATTTATTGGATATTTAAATGTTTCGCTGGACGATTTCAGCAATCGACGGAGCCAATTCACTGGGGCGCTTAATTCGCGCGACGGATTCGTACTCTTTATTCGTAGGTGAAGTCTTAGCTTTCGGTCCGACAGATGCGAAAATGGTAACTTCCACGCGGGCTGGCTCGCATTGAAATTATTATCGATCGAAAACGCAATAGATTTACTCGCAATCGACTTGCGGCAACAACAACTTGCACAAATCAAAACAAGATGTTAAGAGGCTTTCAATAAGTTCAATTAGTGTAGATCATAATGTGATGTATGAAAAATATACACTGAAATTTAAAAATCAATGAATTACAAGACACCATCATAATTAGTTGTGAACCCACCACCCTGTTAGGCTTTATAATCAATAAAATCATAACCAAAGCCTCAAATTGTCTCATGAGCTGCTAATACACAGATGTAAAAATAGATAGATCAAATAATATTCAATTATTATTTTGAAAATATGTTAGCTTCCACTTCTTTATTAACGTGAAGGAAAAATACCCATGTAAGTTATGAAAAAGACAATAAACTAGATTTGTGAATTGATTTTGTTACCCCAACCAGGCGCAGATCCAAAGCAACATCACGTTACGACCCAACTACCACCATAACTATATTATATAACTATTTTGTAGATTATATTACTTGAATCTTTACATAAATCTTATATTGACAGTTTTTTATCACACACCGATCATAATGAAATGCAAGAAGGTCACCAATATACGTCTTCTCCGGATATTGACTCCCGCCCGACTGACTTTATCATCAGAATCCGCGTCTAAACCCGGCAGGCTTTATTCCGGAGATAATCATTTAAGAAATTGAGTCGAATTATCAAAATCACGAAATTAGTTCGCAATTCGAATTGAATAACAAAATTCAGTACTGTCACCATAATACCATCGTTGGCTTTGAAAAGAGGGGAAGTGATAGTCATACTTTGCAGAGAGAAATTATATAAACTATTGAAATCCGCCATATATACCTAAATAAAACCAAATTATTATTAAAATTTTTGTCGATCGATGGAGTAGAAAAATAAAATGTTTATTAATAATAAATTGCAATGAAGTCTACAATTAATATAAATGCATCCTAATTGTAAGGATATGGAAAGTCTTAATTAGGGCTTTTGTACAATGAAACATTTTATTTTGGTGGCCGGTTTAAGTGCTTATGGCTGTTGCCAAAAAGTTTTTGGAACACCTTTGTTGCGTATAAAATATATTTGAACATTCCTTGTCGTAACAAAAAAAGTCGTATTCGCGTCCATTAAATGTTCATAAAAATGTGGGTGAATGTTGTTAATGACTTAGATTTGCTACTTGCAACATTATATTTTACTACGTAATATATATTTACAATGGTAAAAAAGGATTGTTTAGAAAAAAGGTAATGAAAACTATAATTGGTCATAAATTAAAGGAAAATTTAAGTAATTTTGTTCCCATACTTAGTTTTTATTTCTTTATTGTCTGTTACTTGATGTTCTTAATATATTCATAAATTTAAAGTTTGTTATTAGTTTCAATATAATTTAAAATTTTCGAAGCCGACTTTTATAAGTATTAAAGTTTTTATAGGTTTTATTTATTTCTTGTGATATCTTTTATTAACTATTTATGGTTTAAGTACTATGCTATCAACGCTCAAAGATCGATCTTTAATAAAAAATAGACGTGTTACAAACAGAGAAGCTTCAAAAAGGCAAAAAATAAATAAATATTTAAAACAAAAGTTAAGTTGCTTCGGTTTGACTAGTTAAAAATAAGCAATTACAATAAGGCACAATTATTATTACCTATCTAATTAATATTACTTTGATTCAATTATTAGTATTGGAATAACAATAGCAGGAATCGAGCTCATACGTCTAGTCAAGGCTGTAAAGCACTTTGAGCACAAAAGGTTTTCGTATATATTGTGTTCCGCTGACTTGCACCAAAGATGTAAATTATACTAGGTTCCAAGTATGTTTGTTTTATTTGAGCCCAGAACGTGGGTGAGTTTTGACAACGCCGTTTTTATTCTATATAATATTATGGTCTTCTCCAATCATCCAGTGAAGCCATCTTGACATTCTAAGTATAAAATGTAATTAAGCAGAAGTTTTTCGTTTATCCACCGTCCACAAATCTTACGACGAATATATTTAAAACATTTCAACACAATCAAGTTTGATATCAATACAATACCAAAACAACAGTGACCACGATTCTGTTTCACGAAATCTTAAAATGATTTATCTGAATTAACAAAAGAGGCCTCAATTTTTTTTATTTTTTTTTAAAACAAAGTTGAGCTTCGCTAAACCAAAGAGAATGGCCCGAAGTGGGTATCCAAGAAATTTTAATTCTTTGAATTAAATATTTTTTATAATGAAAACTTCCCATAAAGTATTATTAACAGTGTAGTGCTCATTGTTAATGATATTGAACATTAAAATAACATTTATAAAAGTAAATGTAAGTACTTTCTAATTGACGTATCCATGATATCATATTCTGTTTGACTAGCGGGTCGAAATTTACGTTTATGAAATAAAAGTATTTGAAATAATAGAACATTTTGGTTCGGAATATGTTTTTTTTTTATATTATTAATATTATGATTAATTATTTATGTGGGCATGTCGATTGAATGAATCAGAAACTTTGTAAATTTTTACAATTTGTTGTTGCATTTGTTATGGTTTACCTTACTAAAATTTTTTTTGTATAGAATTATTTACTTAGAATTTAAGGCGGTTCATAAGTTACGTTGTGTATAGATGTTTTTAAATTGTTCCTGTTCAATTACTATCCTAATATTATATGTACGTAAAAGCACAAAAAATAATAACACTACACGTTTTATTCACGTATTTCTAAGCAACAACACTAAAAATATTATGAACCATATACCTAATGATATTTTAATAAGTAACAAATGTGAGCGAATATTTAATTTGACATTTAAAAATTCTTCTCTTTTCATCGAACTTAATTTGATACTGTTTTATCGTGTAGTATTTACAAATTGAAATAATTTGCATCTATAAATAAACTGTGATGATGAGATTGAAATATATAGCTTTTAATAAAACATTCCTCACTATACATATATACCTACAATAGGTAAAATCAGTCTGCCGGTGCCTGAATAAAATGAAGCACCGTTAACGTTATAGTTATAATTTGTTATCAATGTTTAATATAAGAATTAGATAACAATAAAAATCTATACTGATTGTATTGCGCAATTATAAATTTTGATTATCAAATAATAGGTATTATTAATTTTAAATTTGTGATACCTCAGGAAAGTAACAAATACAATTTATTTGCGGATATCAAAAAACTCGATTCCATTCCAGACACAAACAATACAAATGATTTCAACGTTTATGTAAATTAAAATAGATCGCTGTTTAAAAAAAAAAATGTGTTTTATTCCATTCCCACAATAACCACTGTTCTGTGTTGTGGATTTGGTGATATGAGGTTTAATTTGTCACTGAAATTTTAATGCTGGTCTCGGCACTTAAGATTTCAAACCGTGCCTTACAGGGTGACGTGACCTGGATGGCTCAGGTTCGCATCTGAGCGATGAAAAAAAAAATTTCCACAATTTAATAACGCATTTTAAACTACACATACGTGTTTATAATTGAAGACATGAGTGGATGAAGGGATTATGTTACATTTTTTAAAAAATCTGTTTTTTGCATCGAATGAAGGTATTATGTGCTTAAAAACTATATTAAACCTTAAAACACCGCTGTTGAGCTTAGTTTTAGAGATAGCAAGTGATGAAGGGGTTATGTACCAACATAAAATAATATTCACAATTAAAGAAAGTGGCATGGGCACTTAGCATATTTTTTAATTTAAAATTATATAAGTATATTACTTTCTTGCACGGATGAATGAGGTAAGTGCCACAAAACACGCGCGGGCATTGCGTTGTTCTGGTTGAAGGTGTTATGTGATGTACTTGTCTCTTTCTTCCATTTCGTATCATGTTCAAAAAAAAATTAAGTCTGCGTCATACAAATATTTCATAAAAAACAAAAGCATAACAACAGAGGTTTGCTAATTGGGATTGAGTGGTCTGTACCAAATATCGCGGAAGAAGGTGGATATTATAGGATTATAACGGATACAAAATCAACAGTGGTGCTTCTGTTCCACTTCCAGATAGATAAGGCAGACACAATAATCGTCCCCATAAAACGGATGAAGAGGTACGCAAAAAACTGCGTATGTCAACCTTTCCGGCGGAACAGTCGCAATACTCACGTAGCAAAAATATATACAAAACTTATTTGTCACCACTTTTAAAAGTCACTAAAATGCACTAACTTTATTTAACGATGTTTGAGAATTTTAAAACATGTAGAAAAAGTAAGAAAAGATTGTCGCCGCTGTGGGAATCGAACCCACGTCTTCGGCATTCGCGGCCTAACGCTCTAGCCACTGAGCTAAACGGCTGATAAAAAAAGTTTTCGTTACTGAATTTAATCTCTCTTTTGGATACCCCATGTGCAACTTATGATGCTAGAAATTCAAATGAAAAGCTGATACATGCTTTTCATTTAAATTACCACGCTGCGATTTAAGCCATTACAAGAGATTGACCCAAAAAAGACAATGGATTATTGTACCTCACAGTAGACTTACATCACACCATGCCACTTCCTAAAATACCGACTTCTAA